GGTAACATTGATTCCCGCGAATACAGATACACATGTCATGGAACACAACGTCAATAGACTTCATTTGATTCTTTTTCAATACATGAAAAAGCTAATGTGTTACATGAGCCATTGTTGGTGAATGAAATTCAGCAATTTCTGTATATTCGTTTACAAAATACGCTTAGTGTCACAACACGTTTTCTCACTGTCCACGCGTCGACGCAGTGTTCAACAACGTTTAAAACACGAGATTGATCAAAACTTCATTCGCCATTCGACCTATTTGAATAAATACAAATGGTGACGCCGCAAAAATGGTTTATTATGCCTATTCTCACTTCATTTTGAAGTTTGATTCGAACAGTATAAAATCTGAGGTACAGAGAATCTTGTAGGAATCATTTCGCAAACCATGAAATATTCACCTTAACCACTTTATGTATCTTTCAATCCACAAAAATAGTCGTTTCATGTTGAGCACAGCAGATATGCCTCCATACTCAACTATCAGAAACCAGTCTATAATCCTTATTGACTCAATAAAACTCGTAAGGATTCCCTGTACACAGTGATCAATATTTACCATCACCTACTGGAAGCTTTGAAAGCACTCGCTATGAATAAATTGAAGTTAGAATTGAGAAAATTATAACATCACTAATCAATAGGTTTTTTAAAATCTGGATGAATTCTTCAATACCATTCTCTAATATTACCATACTACAATCATGTCATGATAAAGATGCGCTGATATAGTTTCACAAGTACCTACCTACTCCTTGAAATTAGTTGTATCTATAATTATACCCATCATCTGCAGATAGATTACAAATCTGTATCTTCCTATCTATAATTTATCTATTATTGATGGCTCACTTCATGATTTTTTCAGTTGAACTTTCAACTAAAACCTTATCTTTTATCTCGAGTGTGAAATATAGTGTTATCGTTCGGCAGATGATTTTGAATAGTTCCTCTCGAAGAACTATAGAAAAGGGTTCTATTTCAAATTGAAGAACTCGAGGTTAGTTCCGACCGGAAGTGACTTCGGATGTTTTCCGATTTTTCTCAAATGGAAGATCCTTGTCTTGATATCAAATCATGAAAATTCCTAATATTTAATCTCTTGAATGAATGATATTTTTCATTGGTATATATACTGTGCCAACCAGTTAAGGTTGACAGTTCATCCTAATTGCATCAGAGTGCGTCTAGAAATTTGAATTATTCAATTCAAATATCCAATAGTTCTTATGCATATGATAGGTTTTTCGATTTTCTGTCTTTAGAATTATCAATTTGTGCGTATAAAGTGAGCGAAATGAATGTCTCCTTCAACAATAAGATTAGAATTTTTGAGAAACCTTGAATAAACATTGAATGAGACCCTAACAGCAAACAGGCCGACACTCGACAGGCCAGAAAAAAGGTTCAAAAGGGTCGGAACTGACAACAACGCATTGTCAAAATATTTGAAGAAATGTCAAACTTATACCAGATATAAATGTTGTATTAGATTTGTTTCTATTTTCAATAGGAGGAGGTATGGACCACTGTGTGAACTAACAACATACACCTGTTTGTTGTAAACTTTGGAACTGCAATACCGAATTTGAAAAATGTATTTCGAACTATGAGTGAACAAAAATATGGAAAACCTACCATATGTCGAATAAATAACTGAAATAAAATCATCAGATTTTTTTAAATATTGAGTAGATTCAAGTTGGTCATTCTTCTTCCCAGTCTTGGTCTTGGTCTTGCACAGTAAAAAAGCGCTTCGAGTTAAATTCGTAGCGTATGTTTTTAGAGTTGAAATACTCTGACAGACTGACTCTGATACTCCAACCAACTCTATAACTACACTTCTCGCAGATTATATCTTTTGAAACTAATTTTAAATTGAATTTGCACTTATCCCGTATTGAATTCAATCTGAATTCCTGAAATTCCAATAAAATAGCAATTCAGATAACTCACGAACAATTGAAATTGAATGCATACTAGTGTTAACTGACACTAGTGAACTTGAATGTCCCACTGTTGTCGATTAAATTGACACTCTATCATTGTTCAATTCAATCTATATCCGACGAAATATCAATCTATACAGTTTCAGATCGATTCGTCTACTGGATAGTAAAATAAGTAATACTGATTATAGTGTCGATCATATAATGATCATGATATCAGCTTTAAGTAGCTTTTTTACTTTTTTACTATACCCACCTAATGAGAGATTTTTTTAACATTGAGTTATTAACGTATTTCCGAATTATTATTTCGAACGATTTATGAAACAGATAGGTTCAACTTAATAGTCCAGTGGGACTCGAGTCATTTTCCAAATATGAAACGATTAAAATATTAAAACGTCACACCACTTCTCATCCGTCAATTTGCGCGACTGTATGAAGGTGGCGCTTCCGAGACTGCCGAGATCTCGCCGCTGAACGTCTGCCAGAGGCCTATAAATACTGTGATATGTAATCGATAGCTATATGTTGAATTGGCAGAATCCATATTATTCAAAATGATATCAAAATGCCACGACTAACCCTACTCAGGGTTCGGATTCTTCCTTACCAATCAACACCAAGACCCACTGACGAAGATAAATAAATTGGATTCGATCAAACTACTCTCGCTCAAAACTCTCTCTCTATCAATTCCCTACATTAAGAGCTGAAGAACTTCCGTCAAACCAATCATGGACACCACGTCGGCGTTGCGCCGGTCCAAGATTGTTCCCTATCGACCTTGTCCTAACTTGGCAGAAGTCCTACGAAACACAAAGATCAGGGAAATAACGAATATTTCAATAAAGAATTTGTTCTGCTATTGACAAGAGCGCAATTATCATTGCACTGCCATACACAACGTACACAAGAAGAAAGAAGAGAGAAAAGCTCCTGATGAATACTAGGTTGGAACGACTACCATCCTTGTAAAGTTGAGTCTGGCCTTACTCCTAGTATACGTCGTTGCCTTCCCTTGATATTTCGAGATAAATATCTCCGGAACACTTTGTGTTTCGTAGGCCTTCTGCCAAGTTAGGTCTAGGTCGATAGGGAACAATCTTGGATAGGCGCAACGCCGACGTTGTCCTTGATTGGTTTAACGAAACTTCTTTAGCTCTCAATGTAGGGAACTAAAATCAGACATCTTAATAAAAGCGTACAGTCATTTTCTCATAAACCTAATAAACTGGGTAATATATCGCGGTATATTGTATGAGAGAGAGACTGGTTGAGAGAGAGTGTTGAGCGAGACTAGTTTGATCGAATCCAATCTATTTATCTTCGTCAGTGGGTCATGGTGTTGATTGGTAAGGATGAATCCGAACCCTGAGCAAGGTTAGTCGTGGCATTTTGATATTATTTTGAATAATATGGATTCAGCCAATTCAACATATAGCCATCGATCACATGATATGTGAAAGAATGATGGATTTAACTCGGATGAAATCTCAATAGTAAATGATAACTTTTTATCAGCACCTTGACACATATTTATAGTAGTGTCAATTTGAACAATGGAGGAGCAATCTGACATCGAGGTAAAGTTAATAAATCAAACAATTTCCGGTGGATCCGACTCTGTTCATAGTATGAAATCTACTCTCAACTATTCTATTCCAACTCTCAACTTTTGTTACTATGTAATACTCGGTTATTGAATTTAACTTTAAATGGAATGTTTACTTTCAAGATTGTTTCTTTTAACTCTATTTTTGTGTTCGTTCAATATATTAAGAGAAATAAATAGAGTAAGTTTGAATATGCTCGCATTGAAAATTTACACTGATTGAATTGAAAAATATCACAAATATACTAAACTATAGAGTTGAATCATCGACTCAAATGCTTAGTGGTCCTCCTGGGAACAAGTATAGTGTTAAACACTCTATTTTTCTACTGTGTGGTCTTGGTCTTGGTCTTGGTCTTGAAAAGATTCATTAAGTCTTGATCTTGGTCTCGCGAAGCCCTAGGCGGGAATACAAGTTTCGAATCACGGGTTACCTGGTTTAGTAAGACGAGCTGTATAGTGTAAACGCTGAATCATCTCATTTTATATGTACTTCTGGTTTTTATTTGTGAGACAATGAATGAAGTACGATTATAACATGCCAGAGCATATTTGGAGTAGGTTCCTCGCGTAGTTTAATAATTATAAAGCTCATTGCAGTCCAACCGAGTATCAGCTATTCACATAAAGACTATATAAATTGAAGCTATAATGAGTATCAGATTTCCATTTCGTGTACTGTGACACCTGGTATGGGTTGACCATCACATTTGTAATGAACGGGAATACAAGTTTTGAATCATGGGTTATCAGATTCTGTATAGGACGAGCTGAATATGCTGAAGCATGCCTTCATTTACTATACTATATATTTGTAAATATTTGTAAGAAGTGAACGATTACAAAACGAGAGAACTGATTTGATCTTTGAGAAGCGATTCGGCTGTGTCACCGCTAGAATCCGCCATTCATATAACCATTCATATAACGACTAAAGGCATTTCGGATATCAGATTTTTTTTCGTGTCGGTTATATTCAATATTTCGAAAAAAAATATTTATGCGAGCAATTATTATTATATATTATATAATATGTACTTGAACATTGGAACTGTAAATCAGTTGAAAACATTGTATAGAGTAGAGTGAGGTGAAAGTCCATCAAGCGAAGCTGAAAATTCAAATGCAGTTTTTGAAGAAATTGAATGATAGGTTCCCTGAAAAATATTCTGAGAATTCTAGATTTTTTCAAAAACTATTTATCATTATTATCTTCAATTCAGATTTTCCTAAACCTCTCTATGTGGTAGTGAAAATATTTCTCCCGATTTGATTCAAACTATCCTTATGCATTCAATCAGGCCAATGGCGCCCTACGGAAGATCGCATTAAATATCTCTATATGAAGAATAATAGAACACAACTGATCTCTTCAGGTTTAGGTACATTATTCTAATTCTTGTCACGAATAGTAATGATCAGACACTCACCAGAGTTACAATGTTCACTGAGTTGATGATGAATGATACTTTATTGGCTTTCGATTAACTTTCAAACTGTAAATTTATACTGAATCAAACTAGATGGGTATCAATGACTTAAATAGATAGGTACCCGGTTATTCCGATCATATTATGGAAAAAATGATTGGCAGAAGTTATTATCTCTGGTACAAAAACAGATTGAGATAACATGATGAATGAGTTGATATTAGGTATTCAAGTCCGCTCATTTCTTATTCGCTTGCAGTTTAGTAACTTATTCATGATTCAAGTAATGATTTTGATACCCATCCTCATTCTTTCTTGAAAGTTCTCAAAATTTTATTGTAGTTGATTGGATGTCACTATGACTTTTCGTTCCCTAACATCACATAGATATCTTATAGGTATGTACTTCCCAACCATGTCCCGCGAAACAAGGAAGCGAATGAAATTTCCAGGGGATGATGTGCAACTTGGTCCTCCTTTCCATTTGGAGTTCTCTGGATAACATCTAACCCTCCTAGGAGGTTGAACTATAAGAGGGCTGAAAATATCAAATTCAAATGTATTCCTTGAGACTAGAGATTATTCATATTATCTACTGCATGGAATATATTGAGAGTGGGAAGTTTTTGACCTGTCAGCCTGGATTTTATTACCTTTTGGCATCTTCATAGGAAGCAGAATTCGAAAATATATTACAAATAGGCTTTTTATACGGTGCGCCCGTTAAGTTGAGTTGTCTTTTAAACTAGTGGATACTTTTTTATCCATAATATATGAATTTTTCAGGAATCTCCTGAAACATGTCGATTTTTATCTTCAGTGACCCACGTTCTTGAGGAGAAATTGGATACACAGGGTGTTTTTTCGAATAGAACGCGCTATATATATTATGCAGTTCTTGAAATCTCCATAGATATACAGGGTTTATTGTATACAGTGCGTCCGTTGTATCAAGTGCTTACGTGAAGTACCTAGTTTAAGAATTTGCTGAAAATGAAAGAAAACATTCTTGCGAAGGACGATCAGAGCCGTTGAAATTCATGATCATATAAGCATTTTGCAAATTCAATCAATACGTACGGAATGATTCGTGTTGGAGTATATAATCACGTCATCGGCAGTTTTCAATGCTATCCCCATTTCACAGAAGCACTGAATTTAATGGGCGAACTGAATACAAACCCTATCTGTGATATTATTTCGAATCCTGTCTTCCATGAGGAATCCAAAATTTTAATAATATATTGGGTGTTCCATTCGAAATATTGTCGCGGATGTCATAGCTCATCTAATAATTCCCTATAAATGTGGCATTCAGAGAGAGAAACGACCTGTTCCAGGAAATTTTTTAGAAAAAGATAGTATTGATGAAAATGAATTATTTATCTACTGTTATATAAAGAAGAGCATTGAATTAAGGCTGAGGCTAGAGACATGTTGATGTGCCTGTAATATATTCCTTGCAGACACGTCCCTAATAACACAATAACATCTGTAAGACGTCGTGGAAACATCCATATGGGATGATAGGAACATCTCTGGAAAATCCCTATTTTCCTTGGGACATTCTTGGGATATTGCTGGCAACACGCTTGTCAGCATTCGCGATGTCTTATAAACATCCCATCAGAATGTTTGTGGGATGATACGGGATATACCAGAGACATTCAGGGTACTTGATATGGAACATCTTAAAGAAACTTCTAGGATGTTCTTTGTTTGATGACAGTAATTGATGACACGGTATGAATTATTTTCAATCTGAAATCCTGAAAATGGACGACCTATTTCCAGATATAAAGTAATAATCCGAATCCGAAAATATAAGGTCGGTGCGGTCCAATAACTAATGGAAGATGATAACAGTTGTTTGAGGCTCATATTTGTTGGCGCTGGGCCGACAGCTGTTAGTAACTCTTAGCAACGTAGTTGTACCGCCATCTATCGGCTGGTATAACAAATAAATTCAGCAATAAATATGCTGGAGAGATATATTTCAATTTTGTCGTTTATTGAATTGTTCATGATGTACAGGTACTATGGTAATCCTATTGAGGAATATTTAGTATCCCTAATAGCACACAACGTCCTAGGGACGTCCTTATTTGGTACAATTCACGTCCGAATGTCCCGAACCAAAAATAAGTGTCCTTGGGACGTCCCATCCTGTACATCTCATGCAATGTCCGAGCAAGGACGTCCACGGAATGTCCCAGCTGGTACATCATTTCAAATGTCCTAGAAATGACATCCCTTAGACGTCCCACGTGGTACATATTGTAGAATGCCCATGCAAGGACGTCCTTGGCATGTCCCTGATGGGATATGATTTCAAACGTTCCTTTAGGGACATCCATCGGATGTCCCGAGTTGTACATTTACTGGCATGACTTCAGATCTCATATAATGTCCCTTCTAGACAACCATGAAATGACCCTGATGGTACATTCCTTCAAATATCTCTGCACAGGCGCCCTTAATATTTCCAGGATCTTATAACAATCGAAATGTCCCTTAGTGACGTCCTTCGAATGTCCGTCGGATGTCCCAATTGGTACATAAACTGTACTCTTCCAATGTCCTAGAAATAACGTCCTATGGACGTCCTAGTCGGTACTTTCAATATGTTGTCCCTGCGAGGACGTTAACTTACACCTCGCCGACGGATGATTGCTTGTAGGCTATAAGTACTCGTCGTCAATGTCCTTCACGTAAGTCCATTGGACATCCTTGGGAAATTTTTTGGGGACCTTCTACGGATCATCAACTCAACTTGATGTCCTAATCAGTTATGCAAGATCTGGTCCTAAAGGGACCCAGACAAATTCAAATTCAAGAATAATTCGTACGTCCCTGGGACATCCTATGGACATCCGATTGATATCCCTCAGCGTTGCTGATAGGTTGTCCTATGGATGTCCTAAGGACGTCCTCTGTAGTGCTTGATGAGGAATACTGTAGGATTTAGGTATTCGATAGTTGTCCCAGGGACGTCCCTCAAGGACGTCCCTAGTTGGTCCTCAAGTGGGACATTTGTGCGTCCCACAGACGTCCAATGGACGTCCACGGTACCAAATTCGAACGTCCCATGGACGTCCTGAATGTCCCGACAGGACGTCCTAAGGATATCCATGGGACATAAGTGTGTTATTAGGGATAATTATTTCAATTTGTTATCGATGGAATTAGCCGGCTTTGGTATAGGTATAAGTATATGAGTACGAATACAGTTTCGATTTCCATTTTTTACCAACTCTTCAATGTTTCAAATGTAACAATTGTTTGAACTATTCAATCATGTCAATCATCATTAGCGAATATGGAACCATGATATTGTTTATAAAAAAAGATCACATGGGATGTGTCTAGAATATCCAATGGAAACATCTGATGGATGTCGCAAGAGAAACATCTCTGGGATATCGTACCTAAGTCTGAAACATTGGGACATTTGTAGGACCTTAGCGGGATGTACCAGCAAGATCCCGTGTTGTTAGGGGTATGTACATGACGTCCCTTCCTAGCGAATTATGTATCAGATCTATTATATGATATATTTCCTGGAACTAAATTTGCAACGTAATTTCAGTCCATGATGGACAAGGAGTGAAATGTCGCGAATATCTCATTTTTTCATAGCAATATCGAATATGAGGAAGGAAAATATCATATCTGCATATCCATAAAAATGGAAACTCTGATTTCAATTCTGAATTGAGTCTCGAATAAGTAGAGACCTAGGTTATTCAACATATACATGGTGTTTGAGCAGTAAATACAATGAAGTCTCGCTCTTTTCACATTTCCAGCCTAAAGACAAAACAATTGAACATGACACCGCGATCCATTATTTTGCTCTAAATCAACAGTGTGAATCTCTTCTGTTTGTCAACATATCTATAATCACATAAGTACGTTCCGTAGACATCTCTGAGACGTCCCTCAGTACGACCTGGAAATTTATATGTACGTCTATCTAGGATTAGTCTAAGATCCCATCTAATGTCGACCTTCACTCATCTGCTTACCGGATGAAAATTCCATTTTATCATATGAGATATGTTTCTGAACATCTACCTTGAGGGTTGCCATAAAAAATATGTTCCTGACTATGTGATAAATATAAATTTCAAAAAATCATTCATTTCACCGACTTCCTTTCCAAATGAACAAAATTCCGATGGAAAGTATGAATACATATAGAATATGGAACAGCTAGGTTGCCTATATTTTTCTGATCCCTCCATATAGCACATGTACGTCCAAAGAATGTCTAACTAATGTACAACACGGACATAGTTGACGTTCATTGAACGTCCTGTCATGTACATTGGAACGTCCAGAAAACATCCACACCTCACTGGATTCAACATTCTATGGACGTACATTCAGGATGTCCAATGGACGTACATCCAGGATGTCTAATGGACGTACATTGAGGATGTTCAATGGACTTACATTCAGGTAATTCAATGGACGTACATTCGAGATGTCTAATGGATGTACATTCAGTATATGTCCAGTGGACTGAAAGCAGTCAATGGATATCCAAACAAAGAATCTATACGCAAATAAAATATTATTTATTACAGAAATATCTGTAAGGTACTGTGTAATATCTTTTAATATAGATACAACATATGCTTGGAATTGATTGCATCAATTTCGTCATTCTGCTCTTGTTCAGCCATTATAATTAGGATGATGTCGAGTTTTAACAGAATCTGTAATAAGTTTTCCTGCATTATCAAGCGACTAGATATTTTTCGACTCACGACATTCATGAAAGATTTGAGTAGCATCAATTCAAGAAAGTAACAAGAAATAGTAGGTAGTTATCCTGATTTTTTGGGGACAAAATTCGATAAAAATGAAACTGATACATAATAGAAATTTCCTCTCATGCGATCCAAAGTTCAAATTCTATATGTACATATAGTGAATTGCTGAACCTCAATGATTACTCATCTTCAGAACCACATTATGAATATATATCCCATACATATAGTCCATATATGGAGATCCATTAAACGTAACCCAATTGGACGTTAAACTTCCGGATGACTTAGCCATTAAGTCTCTCATT